TCCCATTTTCTAGTGTACAAAGCCATGGTTGCAACTGTTCTGAAACTGCAATATCCCTCCAGAAGCGCAGCTGCCGCCACGTTTGAATGAAGTACGCAGTCACGGACTCTCCATCTCTGGGATATGTGGCGAACGTCTTCAGAGGATATATTAGATCAAAACGAATCGGAACGCCACCAACCTTGGTACATTGGTGGACAGACGCAAGTGTTGGTGTTGTTGATTTCGTCAGCTACACAAACTCCTCCATTACGGCAGATATTCGGTCCAGCCATTGAGCATTCCAAGCCGCTACGATAGATTTGGCAGTCCCTTCCAATGAAGCCCTCATCGCATTCACATCGGTATGAGCCCATCTGGAACACATGATATTCCCAGCGCATTCGTCGCCGCACCGCAATGTCTCTATTTCAATATGAGCTGTTGCAGCCGCGTTCTCAACAACGAACAACGATGACGACGGTGGCGACGAGGACGCGCCGCCGGATGATTTGGTGGTTTTCGCTTTCGTAACTTTCTCAGGCCGCAAAAAAACGTGTGGTGCGGTGCGCAATCACTCGTGGTAAATTGCGCGTTTGTCCTCTCATCTCAATGTTCGTTGTGTGAATGTCGGCGGCGTGTTACGCAACAGACAAAGCAGGATCGGGGTGGACGCGCAGCGCACTGCTGATCGTAAAAAATGAGCTTGACAACGATAAAAAAGGACTCGTGTGAACATTCCCAGCGATCCATTTCTGTAATTCGGCCACTAACCCATTTATCATGAAGTCTACTCTTAAACTTACCGTATTCACACATTTCCCAAATGCACATGGAGACTGGTCGCACTCGTTGACATCATGTTCACACTGTGGTCCATAGAATCCCGGAGGGCAATTGCAGACGAAATCAGACCCATTCTGAGAGCACTTTCCGCCATGGTTACAGTACTCGGGTGGACATGGATTGCGTTCTTCACAATGGTCACCTGCAATGAACTGGTATTACTTAGGTTGACAGCATCGCAGCTGACATG